TTTTTTTTTTTTAGATCTTGATTACACAATAAAAAATAACTATTTTTTATTTTTTATCTCACTCCATCTGCATATTATGCAACTTAAACTTATAATTTTTTATTTTTAACAAAAAAAAAACTACTAAATTATTTAGATCGTTTCTCACCCGCTACTTTGTGTTACATTCGGTTCGATCAAGTAACTTTAAAAATTGGTCTCGCAACGATATACTTTTGAGTAGAGATGGCAATTTTTCCCGATTCTCGCGGGGTCTCGCAAGGATCCCCGTCAAAGGGACGGGACGAGGAGGAATATTCCTCCCCGCGGGGCGAGGATGGGGAGCATTTCCTCTCTGTGAAATTTCATGGGGAATTTTTTCCACCTCGCGGGGATCCTCATTCCCGTAAAAATTAAAATAAATATAAATTAATTTTATTTTAAATTTAATTCATCTTTCAAACTCAAACTCAAATCCAAACTCAAATCCAAACTCAAATTCAAACTCAAATCCAAATCCAAACCCAAACACAAACCCAAATTCAAGTTCAAATTCAATTCAATCAAAATTAAACTTAACCCAATTTTACCTAACCCAACCCAACCCAATCCATAAAAATTAACCCAATTCATTCCCCTACTTACATTTAACCTTAACCCTAATTCATTTCTCAATTTTCATTTTCACCTTCCCCTCCATTGTTGGTTCAATTTTTGTTTATGTTTTAGTGTAGCTTGGATTAATCTTTGTTTATGTTTGGAACAAATTTGTTAATTGCTGGTTTAATTATTATGTTAAATTGATTTTTATTTATATTTGGACAATTTATATTTAAAAATTTTAGTTAATTGTATTTAAATTTTTAAAATTTTATTCATTATAATTGAATATTAATTAATTATATGTGAAAGGTAAAAAAATTTATAATTTAATATTAATTGATGAGAAATGGGATCTCCACGTGGAGAACAAGAATAAGGACAAAATCTGCCTCCAACCAAAAATTCCCATAAGGATTCCCATCTTCGCTATTTGCAGGGATAAAAATGAAAACGGAAAGTAACTCCCCAACCTCGCAGGAACCGTTGACATCCCCACTTTTGAGTGAAAATAGGCGAAAATTATCTCTACAACGTTTCTTAGACGGCACTTTCATGACGCCATTTCTTTAAAAACAATTTTATTTAAATAAAATGAGTTTTGACCCAACGCATCATGGGGTGGTGGCGCAGTTGGCTAGCGCGTAGGTCTCATAGCTTCTGAGCTATCCTGAGGTCGAGAGTTCGAGCCTCTCTCACCCCATTAACTTTTCCATTTTTCCCTTTTTAAAAGAAAAATGGTTTTCCAATATTTACCTACT